CACTAGTAATAATTAATAGGAATGTGGAAGAGTCTGAATTAACATATGTTGGCATGGTTCAATGTGATGTGTGCTCCTTATCTAATGGAATGTCCAAGTCATTTAATACAACAATTTTGAATACTCCTTTTGGGCCAAAAATAATAAAGGGACAGATATGGCTTTTCCAAAGGACTACTTGGAAATGGCAAGAACAGCAGTATATTCTTATCGAAATCTTCAAACTAGAAGACATGTTCAAAAACAAGCTACAGAATGCAAAATCAAGACAGATGTTATTGCACTAGTGCATCTGCATCTATGTCAAATCCAACATGCAACGTGGCTCCTAACATTGCAGTTCCAAGACTAAGCACTCCACAGCCACATCCTAGATCTGCAACCACTTTATTTTCTACCTCATCACATGTGTTATGGGTTGTATAGAGCATACGTGCTTCACTGTGCAGTTCTTTTTTTAACGTATGGATATCCAGTACCATTTATTGAAAACACTTCCTGTTGCAGGAAGTCAGGGACCCTGAAAGGAGGGACCGACTGAAGCCGTGGCAGAAGAACATAAATTGTGAAGATTTCATGTACATTTATTAGTTCCCCAAATTAATACTTTTATGATTTTTTACACCTGTCTTTACTGTAATCTCTGAACATAAATTGTGAAGATTTCATGGACACTTATCACTTCCCCAATGAATATCCTTGTGATTTCCTATGCCTGTATTTAATCTCTTAATTCCCTCGTCTTCTTTGTAAGCTGAGGAGGATGAATATCGCCTCAGGACCCTGTAATTGTATCAACTGCACAAATTGTTTGTAGAGCATGTGTGTTTGAACAGTATTAAATCTGGGCATCTTAAAAAAAGAACAGGATAACAGCGATGTTCAGGGAACAAGAGAGGTAACTTTGAACTGGCTGCCGGTGAGCCGGACGGAACAGAGCTATGTTTTTCCTCTTTCATAAGCAAATAGGAGAAATATCGCTGAATTCTTTTTCTCAGCAAGGAACATCCCTGAGAGAGAGAATGCGCCTTGAAGTTAGGTCTGTGGACGTCCCCTTTTTAAGGCATCCCGTCTTTTATAGTCGAAGCTGAAGGGATGAAATAAGCCTGGGTCTCCTATAGTGCTCCCAGGCTTATTAGGATGAGAAAATTCCCACCTAATAAATTGTGGTCAGACAAGTTATCTACTCTCAAACCCTGTTTCCTGATAAGATGTTATCAATGACAATGCCTGCTGAAACTTCATTAGCAATTTTGATTTCACCTCATCCAGTGGTCCTGTGATCTCACCCTGCCTCCATTTGCTTTGTGATATTTTAGTGGTCCTGTGATCTCACCCTGCCTCCATTTGCTTTGTGATATTTTATTACCTTGTGAAGTATGTGATTTCTGTGACCCACACCCTGTTCGTGCACTCCCTCCCCTTTTGAAAATCGCTAATAAAAACTTGGTGGTTTTACGGCTCAGGGAACATCACGGATCCTGCCGACATGTGATGTCTCCCCTGGACACCCAGCTTTAAATTTCTCTCTCTTGTGCTCTTTTCCCTTTATTTATCAACCCAGCCAAGACACTTAGGAAATAGAAAAGAACCCACGTTAAACGTCGGGAGTGGGTTCTCCCGATAACTTCCCTTTCTCTATTGAATTGCTTTGGAATCTTCAATGAAAGACCATTTAACTGTGGGCCTATTTCTGTACTCTTCATTCTGTCCCATAGACCATTTGTCCTTTCCCCAGTACCACATTGTTTTGATTACTGAATCTCTGTGGTAAGTCTTAGATCAGGTAGAGTGAGTCCTCTAATTTTGTTTAGATTCTTTGCATTTCTATATAACTTTTAAAGACAGCTTTTTAATTTCTAGAAACAAAAGTCTGCTGGGATTTTGGCTGGAATTGTCTTTTTTCCATAGTCAGTTTGGAAGAGCTGACATTTTAACAATGTTGATTTTTCCAACATACGAACCTTATAAGTTTTTCCATTTATTTGTGTATTCCTTAATTCGTCTAAGCAGTGTTTTATCATTGGACTCTAGAGGTCTTTCACATATTTTGCTAAACATACTTCATGTTTTTAAAGGTAACAAATGGCATTTTTAACTGGTTGGTTGGTAGTATATAAAAATACAGTTTTTTTTAAATATTGACCTTGTAGCTTGTTAGGATTCATATCTACAAATACAAACAATTTTGTTTCTTCCTTTCCAGTCTGCATGCTTTTAATCTTTTTTTTTTTTTTTGACTTGTTTCACTGGCTAAGACCTCCAATACAGTGTTGATTAGAAATTGTGAGAATGGGCATGCCTGTCTGGTTCCTGGTGTTAGTGGTGAAACATTGAGTCTTGTATCATTGCCAGGATGTGACCTGTAAGTTTACTACACATGCCTTTTATCTGGTGACGGAAATTTTCTTTTCTTTTATTCTGAAGATTTTAATTATGAAAGAGTGTTTAATTTTGTGAAATGCTTTATTGCCATCTGTTGAGATGATTGAATTGTTTTCTCTTTATTCTGTTAATATGATGAATTACATTGATGGATTTTTGTATGTTAAACCAGATTTGCTTTCTGGGGACAAACTTACTTGGTCACAAACAATTATCCTTTTTATATATTGCTGTATTTGATTTGCTAACATTTCATTAAGGATTTTACATCTATATTCATGAGGAGTGTTGCCTTGTGAATTTCTTTTCTTTTAATGCCCTTGTCTGATTTTGGTGTCAGCTGTTTATACTGGCCTCATAAAAAAGGAGTTGAGAAGTGCTACCTTTTCCTCTTTCTTTCCTGGAAGAGGTTTTATACCATTAGCATTATTTCTTACTGAAGTATTCCATAGACTTTCCTAGAGAAGCTATCTGGGCCTAGAATTAATTTATGAGAAGTTTACAAATTGAGAATTCAGTTTCTTTAACGGTATAGGGCATATTAGTTTGCCAGGGCTGCCATAGCAAAATACCGCAAACTGGGTGGCTTAACCAACATTTATTTTCTCACAGTTCTGGAAGAGTACCACAGACCAGGGGTCCTAAACAATAGAAATGTATTTCTCACAGTTCTAGAGGCTGAAAGTCTAAGATCAAGGTGTTGACAGGATTGGTTTCTTCTGAGGCCCGTCTCCTAGGCTTGTACATGACTGTCTTCTCCTTGTGTCCTCACATGGTCGTCCTTTGGTCTGTGTTGCCCATGTCCTCCTCTTCTTATAAGCACACCAGTCATACTGGATTAAGGCACACCTATATGACCTATTTTACCTTAATTACCTCTGTAAAGGCTCTGTCTCCAAATATAGTCACCCTCGGAGGTACTTGCAGATAGGATTTCAGCATATGAATTTTGAAGGTACGTAATTTAGTCTGTAGGCTTTTCAGACTTGTGTAAGTTTGGTAAGTTGTGTCTTTTAAGGACTCTGTTTTACCTTAAGCTGTCAGATTTATTGGCATCGATTGTTTGTTAATATTCTATTATTACCCTTTTAATGTCTGAAGGATCTATAGTAATGTTCCCTCTTTCATTCCTGATATGGATAATTTGTATTTTTGATTTCTCTCCAAATGCAGGTTTTGTTAGCTATTGGTCGTGACTCCTGTACAAGGAAAATGGGCTTGGAGAAGATTGGTGTCAAAATTAATGAGAAGTAAGTATATTGGGATCATTGCACTGTAGCTGCACAAAGCAACAGGTTTCTGCAGGTCACCTCTAAGAAATTCTCATTTAATTACTGAGATATATCTTAATTTATCTTATAAGTTCAGTACCAGCTCTTTATAATCAATTTCTTCATCAATTAGTAACTCTTACTGCATGCCTTTAAAAGCTCATATATTGGACGATGACTTTAAGAAATAATTGCAGAGATATATTTACCTAATGTCTGTGATTTAGAACGCATCTTTATGTCCTTGGTCAGGCAAAGAGATAAATTCCAAAGCTCTAAGTGAGTCTGTGGAGGCAGTCTGCAGATATCCTAGGCGTCCGGGAAATGCCCGTGGTTTCACCAGAGATATTTTCTTTTGGAGCTACAGAAACCCTTGTTACGTTAAGTCATTGACCTTATAGATAATTGATATCCTGAGGTGCATGAGTTTTAAGAGAGGTCTTTTCTCTATGTATTTAGTCTTTTGGCTAATAGCGTTAGTCACCTAGAAGTATAGAGTGAGTTGTAATATATTTTTTTCCCATTTCAAAAACTAATAGGAGTGGAAAAATACCTGTAAATGATGTGGAACAGACCAGTGTGCCATATGTCTATGCTGTTGGGGATATTTCGGAGGGTAAGCCAGAGCTCACTCCTGTCGCCATACAGTCAGGCAAGCTGCTAGCTCGGAGACTTTTTGGGGCCTCTTTAGAAAAGGTAAGTTTCTGCTGTTTTTGAGATAATATCTTGATCAAGATCATGATTTTTAAAACTAATACAAGTAAAACTTGTGTGCTTGTTTTCCCAGTAAAGGGTTCCTCAGAGATATAATTTGCAGTAGACTTACTATTTACTAATGGATTAAAATAAATATTTTTGAATGTCCACTGTGTGCAAGATATTGTGCTGGGTGATACACAAAGCACTGGCCATGGTCAGCCCCAGGGGCTTATCAGGTAGGTGGGATCATGAGTCAGGCAGGCACAGACTGAACAGAAGATAGAGTATGGTTGTGTGCCAGAGTGCTGTCTGCAGGTTGCTCTAGGGACACTGAAGGGATTGTTTAATTCTAGCTGCAGGGAGGGGGAAAACCTTCATAAGTGGACTGTTGCGCTGTAATAGCATAGGAGCTCTTGGCATGAGTCAGGATTCTGGTCCTGGCTTCAGTGCCCACTTGGCCTGTAAATATGGTCAGGTTGTTTAACTTCTGAGGACCTTAGTTTCATCATCTGCAAAGCCAAGGATGTGAATCAGATGATTTCTACAGAGGATTTCCACTTTTCATATTTTTAAATCAAATATTTGGAATGAGCTTTATAGGATGAGTAATTCAAAACTGAGGAAGCAAAGGACTTTTCAGGTGGGCAGATAGCTTGGCTAAAAACACAGAGACCTGTAGTGCTTGGCTTGTGCTAAGGACTATGAGTAGTGTCCCAGGAGCTTTCAGCTGGGGAAGTACTGCTCAGCTCCATCAGGAGCTCTGTCTGTGGCCATGTGGTAGAGTTGGTGGGAGACGGATGACTGGGGAAGGGCCCTGCTGCATTAGTGGGTGAGGTCAGGAATGCTGAGTGTACCATCTCATGCACAGAAAAGTTGTCCCAAACACAGTGCAATAGAACATTTTGGAATGTGTGTAGGCAGAGTAGTTGTTGATAGGGAAGTACAATTGGAAAGGAGGTCGGAAAACTAATTTAGTGCCAGATCATCAAAAATCTTTGCCACAAAGAAGAATTGGTAGGGCCTTCTCTAGGCAGTAGGGATCTGTTGAGACCTTTATGTCCCCCAACTTTTATTTAGAAAGATGTCAAAAGACAGAAAGACTACTAAAACAATCGCCTATATTGAACCTTTCACCCAGATTCCCCAGTTATTCACATCTTGCTGTTTTTGTTCTGTCTCTCCTTTTCTGAATATGTGTATGTGTAGTTCATATTCCTTTTTTCTTTTGCTGAGCTTTTTTGCTGCCACTTTTTGAAATGGCAGACATCAATGACATTTGTCCCTAACTACTTCAGCATATACCTCCTAAGTACAAAGATGTTTCCCTCCGTAAATACAGTTCCATTGCCATATCTGAGAAGTTCAATAAAAGTACTATAATACTCATTTCCTCAGTTGTTCCTTAAGAGTGTGTGTGTTTTGATGCGCACAGTACATGTGGCTCCTATGACGCTTAAGTCTCTTAGTCTGATACAGTCTCCCTGCCTTTATTTGTTTTTTATTTTTTATGACTCTGACTTTTTTCCTTTTATTTTTAGTTGACACATAATGATTGTATATATTTATGGGATACAGAGTGATATTTTTATACACAGATACAATGTGTAATGATCAAATCAGGGTAGTTAGCATATCTATTACCTCAAACATTTGTCATTTATTTGTGTGGGAACATTCTGTTATATCCTCTTTTAACTTTTTGGAAATATGCAATGAATTCTTGTGAATTATGTTCACTCTACAGTGTTGTAAAGCAGTAGGACTTAACTCCTTCTGTTTAGCTGTAATTTTGTGTCTGTTAACCAACCTCTCCAGCTTTTTTAACTCCCACATGTGAGTGACAACATGCAGTATTTGTCTTTCTGTGCCCAGCTTATTTCATTAATATAATGTCTTCCAGGCTCATTCATGTTGCTGTGAAGGATCGGATTTTATTCTTTATTGCTGAATAGTATTTCATTGTGTTTATATAGTACGTTTTATTTATCCATTCATCCATTATGGATGCTTAGATTGAGTCCATATTTTTCCTGTTTTGAATAGTGCTGCAGTAAACATGGGTGTGCAGATATCTTTTTGATACACTGATTCTTTCCTTTGGATAAATATTAGAACTGGGATTGCTGGATCCTATGGGGGTTCTATTTTTAGTATTTTGAAGACCCTCCATACTGTGTTCCATAGTGGCTGTGCTAGTTTCCATTCTCACTAACAGTGTGTAAGAGTTCACCTTTTTCCACATCCTCACCAGCCTTTGTTATTTTTTGTCTTTTTGATAATAGCCATTCTAATCAGGATATGGTATCTCATTGTGGCTTTGATTTGCATTTTCCTGATGATTAGTGATACTGAGCATTTTTTCATATACTTGTTGCCCATGTGTATGTCTTACGAAGAACATCTATTCAGATCCTTTGCCCATTTTTAAATCAGATTCTTTTTTTTTGCTCTGAGTTGTTTGAGTTCCTTGTATAGGGATATTAGTACCTTCTCAGATGGATAGTTTACAAATACTTTCTCCCATTTTACAGGTTGTCTATTTACTCTGTTGATTGTTTCCTTTACTGATTACAGAAGCTTTTTAGTTTGATACAGTCTCATTTGTCTGTTTTCATTTTGTTGCCTGTGTTTTTGAGTTCTTAGCTATAAAATCTTTGCCTAGACCAGTGTCCAGAAGGATTTCTCCTGTTTTCCTCTAGTAGTTTTATAATTTGGGGCCTTATATTTACGTCTTTAATTCATTTTGAATTGATTTTTCCACGTGGTGAGATACAGAGGTCCAGTTTCATTCTTCTACATATACTGTTTTCCCACTACTATTTACTAAAGATGGTGTCCTTTCTCCAGTATATGTTCTTGGTGCCTTTGTCAAAAATTAGTTAGCTGCAAATACATGGTTTTATTTCTGAGTTCACTGTTCTGTTCCATAGTCTATGTGTCTGTTTTCATATTACTATCATGCTGTTTTGGGTACTATAACTTGTAGTATATTTTGAAATCGGGTAGTGTAATGCCTCCAGCTTGATTCTTTTTGTTCAGTATTACTTTGGCTTTTTGGCAACTTTTGTGGTTTCATGAAAATTTTAAGATTTTTTTTCTACTACTGTGAAGATTGCCATTGGTATTTTGATAGAGATTGGATCGAATCTGTAGATTGCTTTGAGTAGTATGGTCATTTTAACAACGTTAATCCAATCCATGAACATGGGATATCTTTCTATATTTTTGTATCTTCTTCAGTTTCTTTCACCAGTGTTTTGCAGTTTTCATTGTAGAGTGGTTTCACCTACTTGATTCAATTTATTCCTAAATATTTTATTTTATTTTTGTAGCTATTGTAAATGGAATTGCTTTATTGATTTCTTTTTCAGTTTGTTGTTGGTGTATAGAAACACTACTGATTTTTGTATGTTGATTTTTGTATCCTGCAACTTCACTGAATTCATTTATCAGTTCTAAGAGTTTTTGGTGGAATCTTTAGGTTTTTCTACACATGAGATCATATTGTCTGCAAAGAGGGACAATTTCACTTCCTGTTTTCCCAGTTTGGATGCCCGTTCTTTCTTTCTCATACTGACTGCTCTGGCTAGGACTTCTAGTACTGTGTTGAATAAGACTGGTGACAGTGGGCATCCTTGTCTTATTCCAGTTCTTAACTCTGACTTTTTGATGAATCCAGGTTACTTTTCTTGTAGAATGTCCCACATTCTGAATTTCTCCAATTGTTTTTGCATGAGTGTGTTCAGATGAAGAGGTTTGGGCATGGATTCTTCATGAGGAATGCTATGTGCTGCTTTGCTTCATCCCCCAGGTATCTGCCAAGGCCTTGCATGGAGACCTTGTGGGTGGGTGTATTTGGTGCATGAGGCCGGCCACTGGGGAGGGGGCTCTGCTGGCATTAATGGATGGGGGCCAGGAATGCTAAATGTGCAAGGAATTATCTCAACTGCAAATAACATTTTGGGGTATATGTCGGCAGAGCAGTTGCCTAATGCTGTAAGGAGTTGATCATGGTGACTGTGGGGAGGAGGGATTAGAATATGGAGCAATATGTGTAGAGTATAAAGTAAGAGATGAAAGGCACAAGATGGAAAGAAGCCTAGGAGAAGGGTAGCATGAGTCAAGTCCAGGTGGAAGAGATGGTCTAAGATGTGGAGATGGTTTTTAGGAGAAAGGGGCAAAGTTGAGCCATTTCCTGTTTATTTTTCTTAATTGATATGAAACAGGAAACAAAGGCATCTGTTAAGAATGAGGCCTCCCATGTAAGCTATGGAATCTGGGGTCAGTTGCCAGTCAATAAATGGATTGGCAACATGTGAGTGCCTCAGAGAAGTCAGAAAATACCCAGGCAGTTCACATAGTTATGTGATTTTCTCAGCCATGTTGGGAAAAGAAAATAAATGCTTGGCTTACCCATGGTTTGCAGGTAGGCAAACATGAAGTGGCACGAGAGCATAAGAATCTAGGCTAATTGGAGAACTTACCTGTGTTGTATGCACATCCTCTCATTGATTTGGGAGATACCTGGTGGTGTTTTGGTTTTCTTTGGGGTAACAAACAGTAGAAGCTCACTCAAACTAGGCGAACTGAGGGAGGTTACTGTAAGAATCCTGGGATTAATAGGTAGAATCTCAGAGGAACCTCGAAAGAGAACTATACTAGGGCTGGGCCTGCCTGCATTTGGAGGTGAGGTCCCAGCTGCTCTGGGGCCCAGCAGCACAGTGGGGGGTTTGTAGAGATGTGCTCTTCCTTGGCCTAACTTGGCGACAACTCTGCAGGTCCATTTCTTCCCATTCCTCTACCACCTGGAAAATTTTCTTTGCCTCTAGTTAATTTTCTTACAAAAGAAAGAATTGGATTGACTCAACCCACCTTTTTCTGCCATTCCGTAGATTTCTGGCCAGCTTGTGTTGGCTCTTGTGAGATCAGATGGCTGTCCCCAGTCTAATCACTTGTGGCCACTGGCAGGGGTTGGGGAACATACAGTGCTGTGGTTGATGGTGTCCTTTGAAGGGACTGTGACTGGGCAGGCACCTTCCACCTTTTCTCTGCCACCTACACACAGCTTTCTGTCCATGCACACGGTCTCATGGTTCACCCACCAAAGTATTCCAGGTCCTCTCCACACAACCAGAGAGGCCCTCTCTTCTCCCAAGTTGGGGCCTCTCCTAGGCAGGAGTGCCACCTTGTAATGTCCATTCTTCTCTGACTCAGTCTGATAAAGGCTCTGGAGATAGTTCTTTCTTAACCCCTGGACTACAGAGATGACCTATGGTCATCCTTGTCCCTGCCGTATATTAGCACCCCCCTCCAGACACACTCACACACGTACCATCCCGCTTTGATGGTCAGGAACACTCAGTCCAGCACCGTTGAGCTGCACACTTGCCTCGCCTCTCAGTGGCATAAGGAATATGAAATGGCAAAGAGGTGGTCTCAGCTTCCAGTGAAGTAGCATAATTCAAGGTTGCCTGGAAGAAATGCTCCAGGAGAGCAGAGCCCAGAATCATGGGCATGGAAAGAAAACATTTTGGAGAGTGTCTTTAGGGGCAGATGGGTGGCACTACCTCCACCTCCTCCTTCTGGTTTTTAGACCTCTGAGTCTGTGCTCCAGGAGAGCCGGTCCCGTTTGTTGGTGGCTGGCCAGTGTGTGGTCTCTTCCCCTGAGTCAGGGGCCCATCCCAGGTCTCTGTTAAGGTACCTTAGAATTTTCCTGGAGCTGTTGATGTTTTAAGAATCAGTTACACTGAACTGGACTCATTTATTTTCTTTATATAAATATATGTAATATAGAATTTTGCTGTAAAGTTTCACAAAATAAAACAATGTAATTTGTTTGTCTTTCAGTGTGATTATATTAATGTTCCGACTACGGTGTTTACTCCTCTGGAGTATGGTTGCTGCGGATTAGCTGAAGAAAAAGCTATTGAAGTATATAAAAAAGAGAATCTAGAAGTAAGATTGTGTTTTATTACTTCCTTAAAAACAATCTCTTTTAATCAACAATTTTTCTTTGCAGTCACTTTTTATTTCAGCAATTTGCAAGTTACTGTGATCGTTATATTGTAGTAAATCATATTCCTATTTTAGGAAAATTAGCAATTAATTTAAACCCTGTCTGTCTAGCAAACAAGAATAATATGGTTGGGAAAGAGGAGAGTGTAATCTATAAGTCAGGACACTTGAATTACAAGTAACAAAAATCTATTTGAGCAAACTTATACAAGGAAGCTCAAAGTTATTTTAAGATCTTTTGGGAATGCAGGAGTAGGAATGGCTATGGGTGGTAAGGTGGGAAGTTCCAGGGTTGTCTGCCTGTGGGCTCTTCAGATTTCCAAAAGGATGCCCTCTACACACCTTTATTGCTACCTCTCCTTTACACCCTAACTCTGTCCAATTATAATCTTAAAAATATTTTCTTACATTGTCTCTTGCTGGGAAGTTTGATTGACTTTTTTCTGCCCACTCTCCCAACATAGGCGGGAGAGAGAGAGTTAAAAAGAATTGGAGGGTTATTAATACTTGATATTTCAAGTAAAAGGGAATTGAAATCATAGTCCTTTTCCTTGAAGGCAGTTTAGTTGTATGATTTATTATTGGGAATTTATTTAAATGATAGCACTGATATTCCCTAGTTAAATGGCCTAAGGATTTAAGAAACTCCTATTTAAATTTCTGGTGCTGGGGAAATGTGTAATTAAAACCTTATGTTACTTTAGATGGTTATTTTTGAAATTTACATTTTAGGGAACATTTTATCAGAGTTTTTTAATTAACTCTTTATATAATAATAAGCTATCCTTTTTGCATTGGTCTTGGAAAATCGATGATAATAATTATGGATTTAAAGTTTAGTTTTAAAAGTTTCTGAAATTAATGAAAAATTAAGGTAGAAAGATGTCAGGCACATGACAGGAAGGATGTAGAAGGCTGTGTCCCAGACAAAGGAATATCTTTATAGGAAACAAGTTCCCCAAGTTTTTGGGATTACTTTAAGGTCTTTTCACCAAGGTTTGCTGCAGATCAACTCACCTGTTTTATTTATTTGTTGCTTTTTGACAGGACTTAAAATGTGATGTTAATATTTTTTTAAAGTTCCCATTATAGAGAAACACAAACACATTGTACAGCTGTACAAAGTATTTTCTTTCTTTACATCCTTATTCTATAAGCTTTTTTCTATTTTTTTTTTTTTTACTTCTTGTTTATAAAAAGTGAAAACACAAACACCCACATTAGCCTAGGCCTACACAGGGTCAGAAACATCAATGTCACCGTCTTCTCCCACCACATCCTGTCCCAGGGCAGTAACACACGTGGAGGTGTTACCTCCTATGATGACAATGCCTTCTTCTGGATACCTCCTGAAGGACTTGCCTGAGGCAGTTTCACAGTTAATTTATGAGTTGAAGGAGTACATTCTAAAATAATAGTAGAATGTGTGGTATAATAAATACATAAATCAGTATCATAGTCATATCACATTTATTATCTTTATCAAGTATTGTGTACTGTACATGATTATATATGCTAGACGGTTGGAGATTGGCAGTGCGGTATCAGCATCACCAGCATCACCACAAATAGTAATGTGCTGCACTATGACGTTGCAATGGCTATAATGTCACTAAGTGGCAGGAATTTTTCAGCTCCATTTTAATGTTATGGGACCACAGTCATATATGCTGTCCATCGTAGACCAGCATTGTTTTGCAACACGTGCTGTGCATGACTGGAGATGAGAGGAAGTGTGAATGCATTTAGGTCTGTGGTCCATTTTGAGTTAGTGTTTGTCAATGTGCGAGCTAAGGGTGCAGCTTCATCCTTTGCTTGTTGCTTTCAAGTTGTCTGTCAATAGCTTTTACATAGTAAAGGAAACACTGGTAACTGTGGTAGCTAAGAGTATATAACTGTATTGGGAAGATGGGGATGGGAAGGGCAGGAAGGAGCTAGAGTGAGTGCTAGGGGCCAGGGAAGAGAGCTCATCTTGCTCTTGCAAAGAGCCAAATCAATAAATAAAGCCTAAAATAGGAAAGTCAGGCAGTAGCAATATAAGCATGTTATTTAGAAACATAGAGGTAAATACCCAAATGATTAAATAAAAGAGGTTGAACATGGCGGCCTCTAGGTTCATTGAAATAGGTGGGATCAGAGATCACTGTTTTCCACAGCAGAGCTTTGAAAATTATGTCTGTAATTGTGCATAAGTTGATAAAAAGACTTCAAAAATAATGAGGGGAGCCCTAATTAAATATGAAACTTTACCACATGGCTGCAGTGCTTACAGTTGTGCAGCAGTGGCACACAGATGGACAGCAAGATCAGTAGAACAGAATGTGAAACCCAGAAATGGAATCAAATGCTCGTAAGAGTTAGTATGTGATAAGGTCATATTTTAAATCCATAGTAAAAACACAGGCCATCCATTAAAGGGTGCCGGAATAAGTGGGTAGCTATTAAGGAAAAATATAAAGTTGGAAGTTGGATCCACATTTCACATCCACTTTGAACCAGAAGGGTAAGAAATTTAAATACAGTAAAATCTTCAAAGTGCTAGAAGGAAAAACCACATTTGACAAAACCAGTGAAAGAATGAAAGGAGATAGGGGGAAGTGTGAGTGTTCACCTCCTTGCTTCATAGCAGAAGTGATAGAACACATCAGAAATAGTAGCTTACTGTTTTAAAAATCATGTTTAAAACCTGGTAAGAGAAATCAGGAGGCGGAGCTTGCAGTGAGCCAAGTTCGTGCCGTTGCACTCCAGCCTGGGCGAAAGAGTGAGACTGTGTCTCACAAAAAACAACAACAACAACAACAACAACAAAACCTGGTAAGAGTTTGTACCATCTCTTTTTAACCTTAGAGGTGTATTTTTAGGAAAGTATATTCTAAGATAAACATTTCTGTTTTTAGTAGCTGCAGAGATTAAAAAGTTTGTATTAAAATAGGTAGAAGTGGTGGGGGGTAGTGACTCACACCTGTAATCCTTGCATTTTGGGAGGCTGAGGCAGGTGGGTCACTTGAGCTCAGGAGTTTGAGACAAGCCTGGGCAACATGGCAACACCCCATCTCTACAAAAAATACAAAAATTATCCAGGTGTGGAGACGCGCATCTGTAGTCCCAGCTACTTAGGGACGGAGGCAGGAGGATTGCTCGAACCTCGGCAGTCAAGGCTGCAGTGAGCCGAGATCTCACCACTGTACTGCAGCTTGGGTGACAAAGTGAGACCCTGTCTCAAAACAAACAAACAAAAAAATGGGTAGAAGAGTTTATTTCTCTTCTGTTAAAAACAAGTTAAATCAATTTTTTTTTTTTTTTTGCTACAAGTAACTGTATATTGTGATACCTCCTTAATAAAAATTTTGTTTTAACTCTACATGCACCAGCAATTGATGCTTTTCCCTAACATTCAAAATGATTATTTCTGGGTGGTATTTTAAAATTTAAATCCATCCATTGTGGATTATTGTTCATACTACATTTCCAATTCTGTCACCCAGCATTAACTGCCCGTTTCTGTATGGAGTGATTCAGAGGTACAACACTGGGAGACCACAGCAACCCCAAGCTGGAGAGAGGGCACATGGCATTTTATTCTGGTTCTTAGAAGACTGAGCCAGATTGAAGAGGCATAGAGGCACTGGCGTGAGGGCCTGGGGACAGAAATGTGAGAGACATGATTCCCGCTCTCCCATCGCTATGTTCTGGAGCTCTAAATGACTGGAGCTGTTTTATTTCTTCTGCTCCTCCTTAAGTTTGCTGGAACATGAGCCCTGTTATCAGGGTCAGCTTTGATGTCAGGATCTCAGTCTTCAACTCTGCAGCCCACACGAGAACCTGTGCCTGGTGCTCTGCCTTGGGTTGCTGGTACTCTATACATGTTTGAAAACTAAATTTTGTCTGTGGATTTTTGCTTGGACTTACAGCCAAGCAAGTAAAACAACAGCCAACACACGTATGCAGCTAGCATTTCAGGAGCCTTGACCCCGGGACTCCTAACAGATACATAAAGTTGGGGTCACTGAACTTTAAATTTCTGAAAGCTGCTATGGAGATTATTGCCTTTATAGAATTAAAGAGCCTATCAAAGAATGGTTTCCATATACGTTAATTCTGCCCTTTTTCTGTCTTTTATCTTCCAGATATATCATACTTTGTTCTGGCCTCTTGAATGGACAGTAGCTGGCAGAGAGAACAACACTTGTTACGCAAAGATAATCTGCAATAAATTAGACCATGTATGTAATACCACTAGAAGCCAAAATGCTGTGATATTTAAACGTAGTTTTTATTTCTAGTATTTGGATTTCTGTAATTTTTTTTCTTTGTTTTTTTGGAGACGGAATCTTGCCATGTTGCCCAGGCTGGTCTCCAACTCCTGACCTCAAGTGATCCTCCTGCTTCAGCCTTCTGAGCAGCTCGGACTGCTCCATTTTTATAATCTTTCTAAGGTAGCTTTCAGGACAATGCAGAGCACCTCCTTGTTGTCATTTAGTTAACATGTCACAGAGGCTGAGCAGTGACAGTTTGCGATTGAGTCCTACCAGTGTCCACTCAAAATACATCACTGAAAGCTGCCTTTTCCCAGGGCCATCTTGATAGCCTGATAGTTTAAACTTGATAGTTTAGAACTAGAAGATCTGTGAAAATTTTGGTCATCAAATAGTAAGTTGTATGTGTGCATTTTATAAACAGACTGAATGTATGTCAAAAGTCTTTAGATGGAGATGTTCACACAAAGTGAAACTTGACTTACTGAGCTAATTCCTGATGCTTTCACTAAAGCAGCAGCCCATTATTGGAGGCTTTCCTCCTCCCAGTTACCAGTGGCGAGCATCAAAATGGTTAATAGCCTTCCTCAGTAGCGTAGTTTAAAGCACAGTTTATTTATAATTTGCTTTATAAAGAATTCTGAACGTAGAAAGCAGTGTTAAGACTTGGTTCTTCTCTTGAAGAGTTTATCATCTATCTGGGGAGAGGAAACATACAAATAGATAAATATGAACTGCAACAAGTGACATTTACATAAAAGTTTACTGAACAGCAGTCATTATCTTGTTTAATTCTCACATCTCTGTATTTATCTTATTTTCAGTATAACAGAAAACAGGGTGTCCCAGGCTAGTAGCCCATTAGCATGTGCTCTTTTGCCTGAATAATGAAGTCATCCAGAGCTCTAGGGCTTAGTCTCTTGGTAGTTGCACATGGCTACAGGGCAGTGACAGGGATGGTGATCATAATGGCCCTGAAATGCTCCAGGTTGGGCAAGTTCGCAGCTGTGCTCCTAAGGATGGATGCTTATGTGCTGGGCTACATCCTGATTCTTTGGGACAGAGTTATCTGAGGTCAATTTTTGGCAGTTGTGGGCGGCCTTTCCAAAGGGAGCAGGGAGAGACTACACATTGTTACTCTCCGAAAGTGAGACGGTTGGGGTTTGATGGGAGAGCCGCTGCTGAAGGTGGGACTTGCAGCCGTCACGCTAGTTCTGACCTCCTCATGAGGGTGTGGGCTGCACCTCTGTGGCTGTCAGCCCCGTTTCCCATCTCTGAGCCCCTCTGCTGTGTCCCACGCCACCCCTCTGGCTCCCGCCCAGGTCCCCAGGCCACACTGTTGGCCTTGCTCTTTAACCATGGGGATTGTGTCCCTTTCCTTCACCCTGGCCACATGCCTAGTTCTTGAGCAGAACCCTTGAACTTATGAAATGGGAATACTTGATTCCAGCTCTAAGGTCAAAATTGTAAATGAGACTTCCCTCACTCAGGACCTTCATTTACAGTTATCAGTGGAGATTCTCACCAAGTGTCCTTACTTTGCTCTGAGCCACCCCGCTTTTCTGTTTGCTGAGCAACCCACCAACCACCTCAGGTTCCAATGCAGTAGTCTTCCGTGGGCCCTGGGAACTCACTCTGAAGCCCCAGCCCAGGCAGCTTCTGCCTGCCTCCCCTCTGGAGTGCCCACTAGCAGATGCAGATGTGTATGACTATTCTGAGCTGTTGCTTTTTTCAGAAACTCAGTAGGCAAGGATTTCTCCTGGCCCTGGCCTCCGTTGCCCTTTTATAGTCTTTCTCTTCATCTCTTGTATGCTTTTACTGTTGAAGATCACAGTGAAGGATAATGCTATGAAGGAACATTGACAAATGGACAGCCTAGAATGCACCATTACTGTGGAAAATGACTGCACATCTTGCTTCCCATCTCGGTGGGTCAGCTCTTTGCCTGCACCCCATACCTCTCAGCACACAGTCCTGGGTGGCAGCCCTGCACCAGCCTCTCCTTTGTCTCCACTTGATGTTGGGAACAGGGCATCTTGCTTCCTGGGCCAACAACCTCTTATTTCCAGTAAAACCTGCTGCCCCAGAGTTATTCCAGTGTTGGACTTTAATTCAGATTTGTTATGTTGTTGTTGTGCTTTGTCTCAGCATAATTTGGAAATTTACATCATACTAATGAAGTCCTTCATGCAGTGGGTAAATTGTTTGTTCTAGTAAATTTGAGTGCAAATTAACTCTGGATGTGCATTTACTGGCTCATTTAACAGACTCTTACAGTGGCTTAGTTTCATGGTAATGTTCTCTGCTCACTTTGACATTGAAGTTCTTTTTCTGTAGTAGATACTGTATATTTTAACTGTGAACTTGCAGTGAATGGATCCGTATTCAGACCATTAACCTACAGGGATTCTCTTTGTTTTGTTTCTGTATTAAAGGATCGGGTGATAGGATTTCATATTCTTGGACCAAACGCCAGTGAGGTTACCCAAGGATTTGCAGCTGCAATGAAATGTGGGCTCACAAAACGGCTACTTGATGACACCATTGGAATTCACCCCACATGTGGGGAGGTAGGAAACAGGAGGTTTTAAAAATTGGCTTCAGTTGATGTAGTTTGAAAAACTATTATAAAGCACTTATTAGATGTCATATTAGTAACTGATTTGTATATTTTATTTTTAATTTAATTTAATTTAATTTTTTTTCAGACAGGGTCTCACTCTGTCACCCAGGCTGGAGTGCAATGGCATGATCTTGACTCACTGCAACCTCCACCTCCCAGGTTCAAGTGATTCTCCCACCTCAGCCTCCTGAGTAGCTGGGACTACACTACAAGTGTACACCACCATGCCTGACTAATTTTTCTATTTTTAGTAGAGATGGGGTTTCACCATGTTGGCCAGGCTGGTCTCGAACTTCTGACCTCAAGTGATCCACCCACCTCAGCCTCCCAAAGTACTGGGGTTACAGGCATGAGCCACCATGCCTGGCCAGATTTGTATATTTTAAAGAATAGCATAAATGTAATATTCAGAATGTGTTTTCTTAAAGCAGTGCTAACATCTAAATATGTATTTGTTTTCTTTCTCTTAAACAGGTGTTCACGACTTTGGAAATCACAAAGTCGTCGGGACTAGACATCACTCAGAAAGGCTGCTGAGGCTAGGCCTGCTGCTGTTTAGTTTTCCTTGTCATATTCTCATTTCTCTCAAAGATAAGAACACTCTCAGATAACATGAACCTGTGCTGATGACAGCTGCTCTGTTACTCAGGGACCAGTGCAGGGCTGCCTTACAACACTGAGATGAGAAAGTAGACGAGGAGACAGCACAGCAGTGGGCATCTGCCCTGTAGTCTCGCTGACTGCGAGAAGCAGTGGGACTGCTTCCTTGACGCCTTAGCTTGGAGCCCTGTTGTGAGGTGAGCCAAGGCCGACTCTCGCAAGCCAGGACTGAGCTTCCCTCGGAAAGACCTTTGAGTGGCACCATTCATCTAAGTTAGCTTTTCTGGTCGCCATTTTGTTTTGTTTCTGTATTAAAGGATCGGGTGATAGGATTTCATATTCTTGGACCAAACGCCGGTGAGGTTACCCAAGGATTTGCAGCTGCAATGAAATGTGGGCTCACAAAACGGCTACTTGATGACACCATTGGAATTCACCCCACATGTGGGGAGATAGGGGAGAATAGCTTCAAGGTATATCACCACCAAGGTAATATGTGTGGAGTGTGAAGCACGAGTCAGCATTTTAACAGTAGGTTAAATGTGCCTCAAAAAAAAGAGAAATGACTAACCTTACATAGTGTGTACAGCTTCCTGCTAATGCACATTGGTTCCTCTGCAGACAGCTATCCAAATGCAGCCCACAGACACACGTTCACCAGCGAGCATGTGTGAATTCTAGGCCCACACACTAGAAAACCCCCACTTATAGAGTTCATAACTGAAATATATTTTCATAGAAACAACAAACAAAGGGATGAAAACAATGGCGACCAGAAAAGCTAACTTAGATGGAATGGTGCCACTCAAAGGTCTTTCCGAGGGAAGCTCAGTCCCTGGGCTGGCGAGAGTCGGCCTTGGGCTCACCTCACAACAGGGCTCCAAGCTAAGGCGTCAAGGAAGGGCAGTCCCACTGCTTCTCGCAGTCAGAGCGAACTACCAGGGCAGATGCCCACTGCTGTGCGTGTCTCCTCGTCTACTTGGTCTATTCTCGGGTTGTA